GGGAAATGGAATATGTCTGTCTTCATATGTTTTTTCCATCACGACTTGTTTCCATGACTTCTTGGTGGACTGGGGACTTGGGAGGATTCGGGGATGTTTGAGCGGTTTTTGTTCGGTTTAACCGCTCTTGCAAGAGATCTGAGGACCGGGCTAGAGGAATTTGGGAAAATAACCTCTGGTTGTTGTTCCGGTGCCTTGTTGATATGTTTTTCACTGGCGCTGTCCTGCACGGCTGGAAAAAATACCTAGCATAGCCAGGAAAATCTACTCAATGATACTGGGTTTTATCTTGTTCAAGCCTTTGTTTTGGAATCTTTTGGCTATAGTGTTCTAACAACATTGGTCTTATTTTTCCCGGATTTATGTTCTCCATACGCCAAACTTGGCAAGTATATGCTCTTGAAGGTAAACCCCCGAGGTCCTCGCCCCTCGCTCTCCCATACTGGACCACATAGGATTCGTGGTTCTACATACTTACAACAAGTTTACCCCGGACATTGACTATCTGTCACTCGGATTTACCGCCGAACCTCAGTGAAATTGGACAATATTTCAATTCCATGTCGTAGCCAGAGAGTGTATGCTACATGAATCCTTGCATACAGGAAAAAAGAATTGTTGGCACTCAGCCAGTGCCCCAGCTCTCTTTCGACATTTCGCGCACCAGCTCCTCTTGAAGTGCTCCTCAACCTCTCCAATAACTCTTCTCCAGTATCAAGACAGCAGCCCGGGACTAGACATCAGTCAGATCTTGTCTGGCATCATCGTTGATACGCATCGGTCGTGCACTTACATTTTCATCTGGAGTATACAAGACCCAGTCATCACCAAAGTAGGCGAGGTGCAATGTCTTCTCCCGACCAACTCTGGCTTTCTCTTGGTCAGAAATTCTTCTCTTTCCTCGTTGGGGGTAATCTTCGGTAGGAAGGCATAGGGTCAGTGTAAGCTCATCATCTTGGGTCGAGGGATTACCCACTTAAAGTGCTATGAGACTCGACCTTGTATTGAACTCTCATCAGATTTTTTTTTGTCTTTCACTGATGCCTACCAATGCAGTCACTTGGACGGAATAAGAACGTTAAAGTCATCATTTGAGAGTTCCAAGGCTCAGCCACTTCGGATACTATTGAAAATGTCATCAGGTTCGACCAGCATAAGGGGATTCCCAACGTACCTTCTCGGTAAACCCTATGTCGAGATCTGGTTTCTCGTTAATGCCAATACCTATCTATGCATTCGGCATAGGCACTCAATTGAACAATTCAGCAGTCATCATATATGAATTTCGAGGCTCGCTCACTTGATGGATTCATCGTCTAGACGTGCATTCATTTAAAAGCCCGAAATCAGCAGTTACAAAAATGCAGGGGAATGGAAAACTTGCCTTTGTTCATCTCAATCGCCACGGAAGCACAGGCGTCTTCGCACTTGAGATATAAAACTCCACTGCAGCCAAGATATAGGGAAGTTGTCGACGTATCTTTCTAGAGATCAATCCTCTGTAGTGGAAACCTTGTGTAGCTCCCATCAGAAGTTTTTTTTTCATTTTGATTGGGGCTCATGCCAATCTTCGAAATGCAGGGATAAACGGTCATCATTTGGGAGTTTGAAGGTTGATCCACTTGGGAAGGTTCTCTCAAAACTAACTGTTAACGTCCATAAAAATTGGGAATGGAAAACTTGCCTTGCCTCGACCAGCACTGAAGTATAAGTGTGGTGTCATCCAATGATGAGCGTAGGGATATTCCTTTAAAAGATCATGGTCAACGAACAGGGGAATAGGAAACTTACCTCTCTCCTTTTGTCTCGATATTGTCGAAACACACTGATCGAAAATGTCACCATGAAGCATAGGTGGATAAAGACCTTACCTCTCTTGATCGTCCTCGCGTCAGGTATGCATTCTCTGCTCGTTGTCTTGCCAAAGCAAGTCACGAACTAAAGAAGGCATAGAAGATCATCATTCGCGAGCTTTCAGACTGCTCGACAAACGTTAAAGTATCCAATTGTTAATGAAAATGTGATAGGGGAAAACTTATCTCTCTTGATATTCGTCCTCGCGTCAGGTATGCATTCTCTACTCGTTGTCTTGCCAAAGCAAGTCACCAAATAAAGAAGACATAGAAGGTCATCACTCGCGAGCCTTTGGACTCATCCATAGTCACTGCACGACTATGTCGAGTCGCTCCCACAAAGAGTGAGGAGCAAGAAGTGCGCAAATCGACCTAGGTAATTGAATGTAGTAATTAGTCTCGCATCAGAGTTCTATTCATTCCTGTCCTCGAAGTCCGTAGACTAGGGAGCTCTTTATTGTGTAGTAATAATTCTCATCATTTTGCGATTATCATTGGATAAAAAAGGGTTAGGGCATACCTTGATCCAAAATTGCCATTCCACCAATGTGTCCGCAGTATGCACGACTAAGTTTCTATAAAGAGTGAGGAGGAGGAAGTGTGTAAACCGACCTAGATAGGTAGTTAGTCTCGCATCAGAGTTCTATTCATTCCTGTCCTCAAAGTCCGTAGACTAGGGAGCTCCATATGGTGTAGTAAGAATTCTCATCATCTTGCGATTATCATTAGATAAAAAAAGGGTCAGGACTTACCTTGATCCAAAATTGCCAATTCATCAATGTGTCCGTAGTGGGTTACTCCCACAAAGTTCCTATAAAGAGTGAGGAGCAATTAGTCTCGCATCAGACTGTTCTTATCATCTCTTGTCCTCAAAGTCTGTAGACTAGGGAGCTCAATTGTGTAGTGAGAAATTGTCATCATTTTGCGATTATCATTAGACAAAAAGAAAGGGATATATCGGGTCATACCTTGATCCAAAATCAGCAATCCATCAATGTGTCTGTAGAAAGTTCCTATAAAGAAGTGTGCAAATCGACCTAGATGGGTAATTAGTCTCGCATCAGACTGTTCTAATCACCTCTTGTCCTCAAAGTCCGTAGACTAGGGAGCTCAATTGTGTAGTGAGAGATTGTCATCATTTTGCGATTATCATTAGACAAAAAGAAAGGGACATATCGGGTCATACCTTGATCCAAAATCAGCAATCCATCAATGTGTCCATAGTGGGTTACTCCCACAAAGTTCCTATAAAGAGTGAGGAGCAATTAGTCTCGCATCAGAGTTCTTTTCATTCCTGTCCTCAAAGTCCGTAGACTAGGGAGCTCCATATTGTATAGTAAGAATTCTCATCATTTTGCGATTATCATTAGACAAAAACGGGGTATATCAGGTCATACCTTGATCCAATTGGCAAATCCATCAACGCGTCCGCAGTTTGAATAGCCGAGTCGCTATCATAAAGTTCCTATAAAGAGTGAGGAGTAAGAAGTACAAAAAGCGACCTAGATAGGTAGTTAGTCTCGCATCAGACTGTTCTTATCACCTCTTGTCCTCAAAGTCCGTAGACTAGGGAGCTCAATATAGTGTAGTGAGAAATTGTCATCATTTTGCGATCATCGTTGGATAAAAAAGGGTCAGGTCATACCTTGATCCAAAATCAGCAATCCATCAATGTGTCCGCCATGTGTACGACTATGTCGAGTCGCTCCCACAAAGTTCCTATAAAGAGTGAGGAGCAATTAGTCTCGCATCAGACTGTTCTTCTCATTTCTTGTCCTCAAAGTTCATAGTGAGAGTATGGACTAAGGTGCTCTGTGTAGTGATAAATCGTCATCATGTGCGAGTTTCAATTGCCATTAGATGAAAAAAGAATGTGTCAGGTCATACCTGAATGGGTGATTGGCAATCTAAAGTGGTACATCGGAACAATTAGTCGAGAGATTCCAATATCAACGTGAGAGGGATTGTGCCATACTCTGAAAATGTCGATCTTCGTCCCATACCAGCCAGAGAGCTGCATACCAACACACGGAGTTGGGATCGAACAAGGAAAACAGAATTTCCAACGGCTTAGTCCGAATCAAGCCTTTGATTTGTCGCGTCTCAGGCAGGTTGCTGTAGCCCCTCGGACCATTGAAAGCCGTGGATGTTCAAATCCCCTAGATATTAGTCTTCAAATCCTCGGGGTATTTGTATCAAGCCATACAGTTTACATGGAAAAGGAATAAAAGAGACGAAATCCTTTGATCTGAAAGTGTGAACTAGAAGACCCAATGTGGAATTGGATCACAACGACAGACGGGTCAGTCATGGAAGTCAAGTGTTTTTGTTTATTCAACTCATACCAGTGTTCAATCTCAACTTTTTGATTGTGTCCGTTGATCTCTCGAAAACTCGGGGTCATCGTCATCTTCAAATTGTAGTAGTCCTCATTGACCGATACTTCAGATGCTCATTCTGCTAGGAATCCATTAGAGCCATATTGAGTCTCACCCGAAAGTAATTATGGGATAATCTAGATATCACGAGTGTCAAAAGAAAAAAAGAAAAGAAAAGAAAAGAAAACGTAGCAAGTGCAGAAGATGTGCAAGATCAGTCAGGGAAATGATATACTTATTTTCGCCTTGTATCAGATGTGCTTCGAACTTATCACTGAGTCCATTGGCTCCGAGGGTCCACGTTCCCTCAAAGTGTAATATTTTTTAACCATCATGAAATGGCCTTTCTGTGGCACCGAGTATCAATTGTGCTTGTGGGGTTGGAAGCAGTATGGAAACCTAGAAGATCTCAAGATTATTAGCAGAAGTTTCCAATATCAAAACAGACTAAGAAGGGCCATAAGATCAGCCAGGAAAGCAATATCCTGTGTCTCGCATGGTATCAGAGTTCTTATCTTCCTTTTCACCGTGTCCAGTGACCCCTTGAATGACCATGTAAGCCAGTTGGAAAGTCATTTGGCGAGGCACGGTCACTTCCATAGTATATTCTCATCATAACATGCGCTTTCGGGTTCATCGAGCCCAATATTCATTTGCTTGTGTAATGAGAGGAGGTTCATATCGAGGAGTGAAAATGGAATACACACCTAGGTTCTTGAGAGTGTTAGCAAAAATATTCGAACGTTATTCCATTATACAAACAGTTGGATCAAACCAAGTACTGTTTTATCTTGACCCGGATCAGCTTGATCCTTTCAGTTTCATCGAGAGTTCGCTTTCGGCCCATTGGCCCCGTAGCTCGAGTCGAGTGGCTCCCACAAAGAGTGAGGAGCAAGAAGTGCGAAATCTGACCTAGGTAATTGATTGGGTTAATTAGTCTCGCATCAGAGTTCTATTCATTCCTGTCCTCGAAGTCCGTAGACTAGGGAGCTCCATATTGTGTAGTAAGAATTCTCATCATTTTGCGACTATCATTAGACAAAAACGGGTTAGGGCATACCTTGATCCAAAATTGGGAACTGCATCAATGTATCCGCAGATTGAATAGCCAAGTCGCTATCATAAAGTTCCTATAAAGAGTGAGGAGTAAGAAGTACGAAAAGCGACCTAGATAGGTAGTTAGTCTCGCATCAGACGGTTCTTGTCACCTCTTGTCCTCAAAGTCCATACTTAGAGTAAAGACTAGGGAGCTCTGTGTAGTGAGAAACTGTCATCATTTTGCGGGATGCCAATGCCATTGGACGAGAAAGGGAAGTTGTCACATTACATTAAATAAACAGCTCAACTCTGTCCGTCCATCGTACATACCCAGCTGCCACGTGTGTGGGAATTTTGCTGACGGTATTGAGGGATGCCCTGCATTGAAAATTAGTCAAATTGATTCAATCGTGGCAAGTGAGTAGAATGCTCATCAAAATCTATTCCATGTGCTCCCTGTCTCATGAAGGGTGCTATGTTCTGGTGTCCAACTCATGGCTCGTTGGTGTGATAGATGGAAGCGACATGCATGGTACCGAAGCAAAGGAGACCAGTTAGGATTTTTCACCGGCATACTGCAAGGTAGAAGACTTACCAAGGTCTTTTCTAATAAGTCGTGTCTTGTAACTTGATGTGTTCTGCCGGGCAACCCATAGTTCGTGGACGTGACTGGTAAACGAGCCATGATGCGACGGGGTGGATGAAACACCACAGCGACTAGTGAACTAGAAACAAAGAAATCACTAGATGGAAAGAGAACAATTTGAACTCACCGGCATGCTGTGAGAGCTGAGAAAAATGACAGCGGACTCTGAACCTGGAACACCTCTCGAGGGTAAGAAGATCAAAGAAGTATAGTGTCACGGCGACAGAAAGATAGGAAGAGAAGTAGGAGAGGAAAAAATATGAAAGAGAAAGTAGTAAAGGGACCGAACTGTGGTTTAAATATAAAGAAGTCCGTTATTACATCGCCGGGGCGACTTATAGTACGGCCATAGCGACTTATAATACGGCCATAGCGACTTACGGCCATAGCGACCTATAGTACGGCCATGCAGAAAACGCGGGTAGCTCATCACCTGAGAAATCATGATTACAACACAAGGACGCCGAGGTGTAGATTGTCAATATCGCGGTCTGTGAATATTATGGTCTTAGTGACTATTGCATGCATCACATTGAGAGATCGATTGATCATCTGAGTGTACCTCAGACCTAACTATCTGTCGTCAATTAGTAATGCCAATCAAGAGGTAACTTGTTATAAGAATCAGCTGTATCGAATTATGAGTAGGGTAATCATTGTACCTACTATGTATGTATATTGATGGCCCTGGATATCAGGCTTATACTACTGGTGGCTTATTCCTTTATCATAGTAGTCTCATATTCATTCATAGAGTAACTACGCCCTTCACAAGCAAATAGTTTCCTCTCTTTGGGCTTTTTGGCTGGGTTTTAAACACATAGACAGCCATATGCCTCTATCCGAGCCAATTATGGTCTAATGAAATGTGGTAATTAAAATGTATGTTTGCATTATATATTCTAATAAATTTGACACAATAAATCTGAAGGAGGGAAAGACGACCTGGCCACCTCTGATTTTGAAGCCTATCTTGCGCGAATCATTAGACTTAGAGATATTAGGGCACGATATGATCGCCTCAGGGCGGGTATGTTCGCCTAAGGCATTCCATGGCTGATGTAATTACTATGATCACCTGAGGCAGAAACACTTACGGTGCTGACATAATCTTACCGGCAAACTTTACCTCTAACTAGGGCAAACGCGACCTGACGCGTGGTGTTCGCGTGCCTGGATGAATGGCGCGGCACTCCTTTCATCCTCCCTTTCCCCGCAACAATCGTCAATCCTATCTACTTTTATTTAGGCACCCAACTCAGTTTAATGGGTAGTGATCCCTGAAGAAACCATAATGCCTACAGCCCGCGAAAGGTTGGCCGAGCTGAGGGCCCTCCGTGCCTCAGGAAAGAAACGACTTTCCACATACGAGGTTGAGGACCAGGGCGATATCTACGACGAGGTTGATGATGATGGCTACAAAAAGGTCATCCGAAATCGTCTTGATCAGGATGATTTTGTCGTCGATGATAACGGTGCCGGTTACGCGGACGATGGCCGCGAGGTATGGAACGAACAGACAGCAGAATATGACAGTGACGAGAGCGACGAACTACCTACACGGGGCAAGACTGCCAAACGAAAGAGAGAAGAGGAACAACAGCGAAAGGAGAAAATTAACAATGGCATATCCAAGTACTTCAACAAAGGACAGGCTGCGGCTTCTGTTCCCAAACCCAAGGTGAGTGCTTTTTGCTCGTGGAATCCAACCACCTTATTTTGACAAATGTTTTACAAGCCCGCTGCTACTGCCGAGGACGATGCATTCATGGCCGATCTTCTCGGAGAGGTCGACACCAATGTCGTATCGAATCACGCCCCGACACGAAACATTGTCAAGTCAGAAGCCCGACGCAAAGTTCGCGTTCTCTCCCCGCCTCTGTCTGGGAAGCGTCGCCGCGAGAAGCTTCACGCAAAAGACGAAAATCACATTCCAAGCTCGCTAATGAAGGACCCGGCACTCCACTCTGACGATCTCGATGACGGCCCTCTACCGATGGCAGACGATGATGACGTTCCCATGAGCGATATACTGCCCTCGTCTCCAATTATTAAAGCGGTGGAACGGAGGAACACTGTACCGGTCAAGGCTGAAGAGCCAGAAGACGATGATGTTGACCTCATGGACGTCGCAGAAGTCACTGGAGACTCTAGCCTTAAAACGAAGACTATCAACATGACCGGCAGTCGACCGCCCCCGAAGATCAAGCATGAAGTTGCTCCTACACCAGCAAGCTCGTCCCCAGTCAAGTCAATGGCAGAAGTAATGGATGCTTCTTGGAATGACGTGAGGAGCAAATTGAACGTCCTCAGTAGTCCAGCCCCGGAAATGCGATCATTTGGGAAGCTGCGCGCCCAGGATGTTGTCGAAGAGGACGGCAGTCTGCGCATATTCTGGCTGGACTACACAGAAGTCAACGGCAGCTTGTGTCTGTTCGGAAAAGTGAAGAACAAGCAGAATGGATCATACACCAGTGCATTCGTTAAGATTGACAATATCTTGCGAAAGCTCTATTTCCTGCCGCGTGAATATCGATACAAGCAAGGACGAGCGACGGAAGAGGAGGTTGACATGCAAGATGTTTACTCAGAGGTCGACGAGATGATGTCAAGACTGAAAGTCGGCATGCACAAGATGAAACCGTGCGAACGGAAGTACGCATTTGAAATGCCCGGGGTCCCAAAGGAGGCGGAGTATCTCAAATTACTCTACCCCTACGATAAGGCTGCACTGCCAATGGAAACTAAGGGAGAGACTTTCTCAAACGTTTTCGGTACCAATACCTCCCTGTTTGAACAGTTTGTTCTCTGGAAGAATATAATGGGCCCTTGCTGGCTCAAGATCGATCAGGCAGACTTTGCTGCAGTAACCAATGCATCCTGGTGCAAGTTCGAATGCCAGGCCACCAAACCAGCTCTCATCAGCCTCGTCCCAGATTCCGAGAACCTGGATGCCCCGCCCTTGACCTTAATGAGTCTTTCTTTCCGTACCCAGCTCAATGTCAAGGAGAACAAGCAGGAGATTCTAATAGCGAGTGCCCGGGTGTATGAAGACGTTTCTCTGACTGATACCACTCCACCAGAGAAGCTTCCGTGCAAGACATTCACCGTCATGCGCCCTGCTGGTGGATCATACCCAATGCATTTTGAAGCCGAAGCACGAAATCAGCAAGGAACTGTCATTCTTGAAAAAAGCGAACAGTTCTTGCTCAGTAAGTTCCTGGCTATGTTCGAGAAGATGGACCCCGATGTGATCATGGGCCATCAGTTGCAGGATGTCGACCTGGGCATTCTACTCAGCCGGATGCGTGAAAAGAAGACGCCTGGATGGCATCGTATTGGCCGACTCAGGCGTGGAGATTGGCCTAAGAATTTCAACAAGGGTGGCAACTTCTTCGCCGAAAGGCAGTTGATTGCTGGAAGATTGATGTGTGATGTTGCCAATGACATGGGCAAGGTAATTTTCTCCTTAAAGTGGGTATATCACAATGCTGACAGCTACTAGTCTCTTATGATGAAATGTCAATCATGGAGTTTGACTGAGATGTGCCAACTCTACCTCGGTCAAGGCAATGTACGCCAGGAACTGGATGCCGAAGCGGCACTGAAAACCTGGGCGACCACCAAAGAAGGTCTCATGAATTTTGTCAATCATTGTGATACAGATACATACTTCATTGCGGCATTGGTTTTACGTCTTCAGATGCTGCCACTTACGAAGGTCCTAACCAATACCGCGGGTAATTCGTGGGCACGCACACTTAGCGGTACGCGTGCCGAGCGCAACGAGTATATTTTGTTACATGAGTTCCATCGCAACAAATACATCTGTCCGGACAAGTACTCGTCTCGTCTTCAGAAGGCAGAGGAGAAAATACAAGATGGCGACGATGATGAGGTGGTCGACAAGAAAAAGAAGGACAAATTCAAGGGCGGTCTTGTTTTCGAGCCCGAAAAAGGTCTTTACGACCGCTTCGTCCTTGTTATGGACTTCAACAGTCTGTATCCCAGTATTATTCAGGAATACAACATCTGCTTCACAACAGTGGACCGAACAGCTACGGTAAATTAACCCAACCAACCCCTAGTCTTGTTTCCTCTGTTCTAACATTTGCAACTAGGCCGAGAATGAGAATGAAGAAAAAGTGCCAGATGTCCCCTCCCCTGACCAAGAACAAGGCGTTCTACCTCGGTTGATCGCGACGTTGGTTAGTCGTCGACGCGAAGTGAAGAAGTTGATGAAAGACAAGCGTGCCACACCCGAACAACTGGCCGTATGGGACACAAAACAATTGGCATTGAAGCTGACTGCCAATTCCATGTACGGATGCTTGGGATACACACAGAGTCGATTTTACGCTCGTCCTTTGGCAATGCTCACCACTTTTAAGGGACGTGAAATTCTGAGAAACACCAAGGAATTGGCCGAAAGCCAGCAATTGCGAGTCATTTATGGTGACACCGATTCGGTCATGATCAATACGAATATGGACAACATGAGTGACGCCCTCAAGGTTGGCGAAGAGTTCAAGAAATCGGTCAACGAACGTTACCGACTTCTAGAAATCGATATCGACAATATCTTCCGTCGGCTTCTACTACATGCCAAGAAGAAGTACGCTGCTATCAACCTTACCGAGGTGGATGGCAAGTACGTGGAGAAACTTGAGGTCAAGGGTCTTGACATGAAGCGTCGTGAATACTGTGCCCTCTCAAAGGAGGTATCATCAAAGCTACTCAACGAAATTCTGTCCGGTGAAGATCAGGAAATCGTTCTCAACAACATTCACGAGTACTTGCGTGAGCTTGCAGACAGGATGAAGGAATATAAAATCCCGGTGCAGAAATACGTGATATACACCGTATGTGATGAACCTGAAGAATTTTCTGGATCACCTTGCTAACGCTCTATCAGAAACTTTCAAAACGACCCCAGGAGTACCCTAATAAAGAGAGCATGCCACCGGCACAAGTCGCTCTCCGCGAAATTGCCCGGGGCAAGACAGTTAGACCGAACGACGTCATCTCATATATTGTGACCAACGGAGACTCTGAAACCTCATCTCTCCCTCCTGCGAAGCGATCATACACCCCGCAGGATGTGCTGAAGCCCGATTCAGGGCTCAAGCCAGATGTTGAGTTCTACATGCTCAAGCAAATATTCCCTCCCATTGAGCGTCTCTGCGCCCCAATTCCTGGCACCGATGCCGTTCGTCTTGCCGAGTGCTTGGGTCTTGATACTCGCAAATATCAGATCAATACCTCTAGTTCCAACAGTCAGCAAAACGCCGAGGTCACCCCGCTCGAGTCCCAGATCCCGGACTCGGTTCGGTTTGCCAATTCTACGCGACTGTCCCTAATATGCCGATACTGCAAAGAACAATCTGTGTATGAGGGTCTGGTGACCTCGTCGCACATGTGCACTGCGCACGGAATCGTTTGTCCGAACCAGAGCTGCCAGAAACCCTTCTCGGTCATGACAATTGTCGCCCAAGTGGAGAACCAAATCCGCCAACAGACTTCGCGATACTATGAAGGCTGGTTGGTCTGTGACGATTCGTCATGTGGCAATCGCACACGGCAAATCAGCGTTTATGGACACCGCTGCTTGGGTCCCCGAGGTCGTGCAGAAGGCTGTCTAGGTCGCATGTCGTACGAGTACTCGGAGAAAGAGGTATACAACCAGCTTCTCTACTTTGCCGGTCTCTGGGATGTCGAAAAAGCTAAGGTCGCTGCCGAGAAAGAGACAGGAGAAAAGAAGGACAGTGTTGCCGCCCTTGCAGAGTTCAATCGCACAAGATTCGGTACGATCAAGGGGGTGGTAGATAACTACCTGAAGAAGTGTGGTCGTCAATGGGTTGAGATGGATGGTCTCTTCCGCTTTATGTTACAATAGATGCCCCGACGGCGTATGGTTTTGGATGTTTGTAAATATCTAAGGATATTGGGGTCTGGAAGTTTAGCATTGTCATGATTAAATCGAATTGCATATTTTAGGGTCTACAAGTGTCTCGAGTGGACGTTTAATATTTCATCCATATCAAGATCTATCTGTCTTATCGTTACTTAAGCACCCCACCCCCAATTCTCTTGATGGATGCCCACCCCACTCCGTCATTCTTCACTTCAGCTTGATCCATTGCAGAGCAGATATCCTTCTCAATTGCTGGCCGGCTCTTTCAATCATGTCTGTCAAAAGGGTTTTGGTCATTGCAGGATCGGACAGTTCAGGCGGAGCGTAAGTCTAAATATCCTCTCGCAAAAACCGGTTAGAAAAAAAAAATGATGTACCCCATCAACTTATCTCCAAAGCGATACTCCCTATCATTTACGCTATATCATGATTTATAACAAAGCTCTAACAAGTTCCAGTGGTCTCGAAGCTGATCAAAGGGTCCTTGCGGCCCATGGATGCTATGCTCTCACTGCCACCACTGGGTTGACGGCACAGAACACACTAGGTGTGCAAGACATCTTTGTCGTCCCCTCGGAATTTGTGAGAAAGCAAATCAATGCTGGACTAGAAGATGTTGGTGCCGATGTAGTGAAACTGGGTAAGTCATTTGCGTTTCATGATTCGTACTTTTCCATCTAGAACTGCCACTGATGACCTATGACCCCCTAGGCATGCTCTCCTCTGCTGAGACCATTGATGTCATCGCAGAAACACTACAAGCTCACAAAGTTCCTATAGTCGTTCTAGATCCGGTAGGCTCAATGTCCTGTTCTCAAATTGTCACTCTAACAGGCATCAACAGGTCATGGTTTCCACTAGTGGCTCCCAGTTGCTACCTGAAAAGGCAGTCAAGGAATTACGGACAAAGTTGCTTCCTTTGACCACAATTCTGACACCAAATATCCCGGAGGCTCTTCTCTTGTTGAAAGATGCCGGAGCAGAGACCTCCGAACCAAAGGACCTAGAGGGAATGGTTGATCTTGCTAAGAAGGTTTGCTCATTGGGCCCCAAGGCGGTCCTCCTCAAGGGAGGTCACCTTCCTTTGACGAAATATCTCAAGACATCTCAAGACCCGAAAGAAGTAACTTTAGTCGTGGATATCCTCTTTGATGGGACGACAACCACCTTATTTGAGACAGAGTTCTTGGTATCCAAAAATACCCACGGTACGGGCTGCTCACTTGCTTCGGCAATTGCTGCAAACCTGGCTTCCGGTAAAGACATGATCAGAGCGGTCCGGAGTGCCGTGCGATTCGTTGAGATAGGGATCAAGACGAGCATTGACCTAGGTAAAGGGAGCGGGCCGATCAATCATTTCCACTCCACATACACTATGCCCTTTGCGCCGTATGTGACCCATTCCCTATATCTTTTGATTCTCTAAGTCCTAACGATATGATATTCAGCGGCCGATTTATTGAGTACATCTTGGATCGTCAAGATGTGCAGCAAGTATGGCGGCAATTCACCCACCATGAGTTTGTCGAGGGCATGAGCCAGGGCACACTGCCAATTGCACGCTTCAAGGCGTATCTTGTGCAAGATTATCTCTACCTGGTAAGACAGCCATCTTCAATCCGGTTGGAAGAAGGCATTCAACTTATCATGATTCAACCTGTAGGTACAATTTGCCCGAAGCAATGCACTTGCATCATACAAGGCTAAGAGCATAGATTCAATAGCAGCGGTAAGTGCTCACCGTACTTGTTTTCAAGAACAATCTAATACAATCACTCCAGTCGGCCCAAATTGTCCTCCACATCCAGCGGGAGATGGCATTGCACATCGACTACTGTGCCTCATTTGGTCTTTCCAAGCAGGAGATGGAAGATACACCCGAAACTATCGGTAGGCCGGTCGTGCCTTTTTACAAACTCGACAGATGTGCTAATCTCGATATGTATAGCTTGCACCGCATACAGCCGATACATTTTGGATGTAGGCCAGTCGGAGGACTGGCTGGCTCTCCAAATGGCCCTCGCACCATGCTTGATCGGATACGGCGCTATTGCAAAACGCTTGCATACGGCGGAGGCAACTCTTCGAGTGGGGAACACCTACTGGAAATGGATCGAGAATTATGTTGCCGACGACTATACGGAGGCTGTACGACTGGGTTCAGGTAAGTCAGATTGTGAAGAACGAGTGGAACATCTCACTGACTCATTTCATGTCATAGCATTGCTAGAGGATCACATGCAGTATGTGTCACCCAGTCGCATGGAAGAATTGATCAAGATCTTTGTTCGAGCTACGGAATTGGAGATTCGTTTCTGGGATATGGGCCTCGGAGGCGAGGAGCAATAGGATTTAAGATCCCAGGCTGCTATCTACACCTCGTTCAATTTACGAGTTGCTGCGATCACTCCATCTAAGTCCAGATATTCTATTGTCTATTCCATTTCATCTGTTATAAACAATTCGTTCTCATGTTTCTTACCATTGATGGAGATATTAGTGAGGCCTTGGAACCATAGAAATAAAAATTGGGCGTTCAGCTAGATTCAGCTTAGAGCATTCTCAGGCTATGAACTGTTCGAAGTAGATTACAAGGGCTCGAAGGTCAGAATCTGGAGGTGACTGACGTGCGGACTTGTATTCCCAGGCAAGATAATCGCGCTCCGATATTATTCAAGACGATGGGGCAAAACGCTATTCGTCTCACTTCAGTTACCCTGGCCATAGTTCTTTTTTTCGCTCATATTATATGTTTTCTCTAGTGATAGTTCATGCTGCTATGCATTCTCAAATAGTTATCTATAGACTCTCAGTCTATTTGTTTTCGAAAATCCTCACTTTGCCGTCAAACATTATCGCCACTCAAAGAGACTTATTTGCCCCCTTGGTATCCATGGTGAATCTAATAATTTCTAAATTTTCTGCCTGAAGTCGATAACAGCAACCAATGAAAAGCAAAATAGACAAACGCAACGAAAGCGGCGAGTCATGACTAAGCCTTTTTAGGCAGGCGGTCTGGAAGGCACCTGCTCCAGACCTGGTCATGTGATGATACCAAGAAAAACACAAAGGGCGCTAAGCCTAATCTAATTTTTCCTCGCGCCTTCCTCCCCTGGCAGTTTTTTTTTTTATTTTTTCTCCTTCCTTTTCATTCAAGTTCCCTACCTTTTCCTACCTTTTCTTGTGAACTCGTCTCTCTTTCTCTTCTCTTCCTACTTCATACTCTCCTCCTCGGATTCTAATCACTCTCTCTCCCTAAAATCAACCCTTCGCAGACTTAATCATGTCGTACGGAGGTGGCTACTCTCGCGGTGGCGGCGGCGGCGGTGACTCCTACCGGTAAGTTCATTCTCATCGAGGCTTTTCTTTGTCTTCTTCGTCTATCTCATCAACTGCACGGTTTTCTGGCAAAGGCCTTGATCCTACAGTTGTTTGTTATGACGTTGGGCACTGGGATTCCTATCGTGGTCTCCCAACCAATACCAAAGAGACTTCGCACATGGCAGAAGAATTCGTCCTAACTTTGCTATTCTAGCTCTCGCGGAGGTGACAGCGGCTACTCTAACGGTGGCTCCGGTGGTGGTGGTTACAGCGGCGGCGGTGGTGGTTACGGCGGTGGCCGTGGAGGTGGTTACAGCGGTGGCGGCGGCTACGGTGGTGGTGGTGGTGGTGGTGGTGGTTACGGCGGCGGTGCTGCCGGTGGTGACCGCATGAACAACCTCGGCGCCGGCCTGAAGACTCAGGACTGGGGTAAGTTGATTCCAATGACAAGCGTGTTGACGCAATACTAACTTTGGTTCCACTTAGATCCCAACACCATGCCCAAGTTTGAGAAGTCATTCTACAAGGAGCACCCCGATGTCACTGCGCGCTCGGAGGAAGACATTATCGCCTTCCGCAAGGAGAAGGAGATGGCCATTCAGGGTACCAATGTGCCCCGTCCTGTCGAAACCTTCGACGAGGCTGGTTTCCCCGCGTACGTTTTGTCTGAGGTCAAGGCTCAGGGCTTTGACGCTCCTACTGCTATTCAGTCCCAGGGCTGGCCCATGGCTCTGTCCGGACGCGATGTCGTCGGTATTGCCGAGACTGGTTCCGGCAAGACTCTGAGTTACTGTCTCCCCGCTATTGTTCACATCAACGCTCAGCCTCTCCTCGCCCCCGGCGATGGACCCATTGTTTTGGTCTTGGCTCCTACTCGTGAGTTGGCTGTCCAGATTCAGGCTGAGATTACCAAGTTCGGAAAGTCCTCCCGTATTCGCAACACCTGTGTCTACGGTGGTGTCCCCAAGGGTCCTCAGATTCGTGACCTCTCCCGCGGTGTTGAGGTTTGCATTGCCACCCCCGGTCGCCTGATTGATATGCTCGAGGCTGGCCGTACCAACCTTCGTCGCGTCACTTACCTCGTTCTTGACGAGGCTGATCGTATGCTTGACATGGGTTTCGAACCCCAGATTCGCAAGATCATCGGCCAAATTCGCCCTGATCGTCAGACTTGCATGTGGTCCGCTACCTGGCCCAAGGATGTCCGTCAGCTCGCTTCTGATTTCCTCAACGACTACATTCAAGTCAACGTCGGCTCCACAGATCTCTCCGCCAACCACCGCATCACCCAGATTGTCGAGGTCGTCTCGGACTTTGAGAAGCGTGACAAGATGATCAAGCATCTTGAGAAGATTATGGAGGACCGCTCCAACAAGTGCATCATTTTCACAGGTACCAAGCGTGTCGCAGATGAGATTACCCGATTCCTCCGTCAGGACGGCTGGCCCGCGCTTTGTAAGTTTTCTTTGGGTTCCCAACTAACACATGTGTACGGTGCTAACATACATTCCAGCCATCCACGGTGACAAGCAGCAGAACGAGCGTGACTGGGTCTTGAACGAGTTCAAGCAAGGCAAAAGCCCCATCATGGTGGCCACCGACGTGGCCTCGCGTGGTATTGGTATGAACAAACTACACCCCTCCCCCCTCTTCCCCTCCCCCCTTCTTGTCCCCCCTTAAGGGGCCCTTGAAAACACTCACCCGTGTTGACGTTGTGTAATACAATGGCACGGTGCTCAACTCTCTCGAAGCACGTCGGCGTCTATACGCCGCGTCCAGGCGTATTTGGTCATCCTAAATGGTTCTCATGCCAAGAGTACCTTGGACTCACAGTGCAGCACAGCAGCAGGCATTCTAGCTTGGCTTTGATTCTCTATTCTCCATCTCTTGTGTGACAGGCTCGTAGAAGAGTCGAAGTTTCTCTCACACAGCGTTGTTCTTGAACTGTTGAACTGTTGAAGGCTGCATTTCCAAGGTTTCTCTAGGATATGATAACACCGCCATCCCATGGATTCGCTTCCCTTGGGATTTTCTTCAAAGAAACCCATCAAGAGAGCAGTGATGCATCAAGTCCTGCACGACGGAGAAAGGGTCCTTCATGGCCATACTCCTCATATTTCCACTAATGTTCTATTTGCTAACGAATTTCCTCTGAAAAGACGTGCGCGACATCACTCATGTGCTCAACTATGATTACCCCAACAACTCGGAGGACTATGTCCACCGTATTGGTCGTACTGCTCGTGCCGGTGCCAAGGGTACCGCCATTACCTTCTTCACCACTGACAGTAAGTTTTCGTCCGTGTTTTGGACATTCGCAAGTTGTACTAACATTCCCTTCTCTAGACTCTAAGCAGGCTCGTGACTTGATCACTATCCTCACTGAAGCTAAGCAGCAGGTTGACCCCCGTCTTGCCGAGATGGTTCGCTTCGGCGGCGGCGGCGGTGGTGGTCGCTGGGGTGGCCGTGGACGTGGTGGTGGCCGTGGTGGCTGGGGTGGTGGTCGCGGCGGCGGTGGTGGTGGTGGTGGTTTCACTGCCTCCAACTCTGCTCCCGTCGGCGGCAACCGTCGTTGGTAGATGCTTCGCTGCTGCTCCCCGTGCAGTCAGCCACTTTGCCTAGTATTGTGCGATCCCGGTAGACTCTTTCCCATTTCTTTGACTTCATGCGTAACTCGGGCAGGACGGCGTTATCTTCGATGTCATAGATAAGTTTTACTTAGTTTTTGTTCCGTCTCTATCCTCCGGGGTTTTTACAGTCTCGGATCTTGATTCATCAGTTCTCGATGAGTCCATACATGTTGATTAGTTAAAAAGTTTCATGACAGCGTTTGCCGAAGTCTCTTGACTTCAATCTGCAATAATGATTATTCTTATTCTTCAAACATTTCACCAAGTATTTCTCGATCTTGTCAAAGTTATTGGTAGACAGCCTGAGAATGTGCTTGCAAGTCGTTATCCTTGCAACCACCTTTCCACCTCCCCTGCCAAAACCTCATGGACATGGCTAGTCATATGACCCGAATTAAACCAGAAATACCGCTCCAACGACGTCGGACACCCATACTTCTCATACGCAACCGCAATATCCGGCTGATCATACCCAGCACAAAAGTCCGTCGTATTCACAATGCCATACTTGTACGGCTCATCAAGCATAGCCTCCAGCCTCGCATGCGCATCAAAGACCATAACCCGCGTCTCTCTATGCTTTGCCGCAAATCCAGCCGCATGATCTGCCAGCGCGGCATTGTACCACCCGACCTGCGTGGAATTCGGACTGGGGTGCTTCTTTGCTTGGTTCCCTGGCGTGCGGTCTAGCGGCGGCAGGTTCATGAACAGATAGCTTCTGTAGCCCAGGCTGTAGAGGGTCTCCACTGATGTGAAGAGTGTGTCTATGAGGCTTTTGTAGAAGGTCGGGAAGTTCACGGCGTACTTGGCGCTGTCGTTTATATCGTTTATGCCGATCCAGATGGCGACTAGGGTTTTGTCTTGGGTGAAGCTTGGTAGACTGTGTAGGAGGGCTGGGTGGCCGTATTTCTTGAATTGGTTTATCTGGTCTAAGAGGGAGACTGTGAAGTTGTGGTGGGGTGGTGTGCTTGGTTTTGGTTAGTTGAGTTTGTTCGTAAATGTGTGTGGAGTGTGGTTGTGCTTGTACTTGTACTTGTACTTACTACTCGGTTGATATATCGGCGCCTGCAAAGGCGAAATCCCAGAGTTGCTTTTTGCAGTCTTGTGGTGAGGTGAGGCCTTGGTGGATGCCGCAATTTGTGAGATATTCGACCCAGTTCGGACCGCCTTCTGCAGTTGCGGTCTAGACGTGGGACGTTAATATCCGAGTGGTGCTGTGTTTGATTCAATCGTGTCAATATATAAGCTTACTTGATTTTGGACTATCTTGTTGGAAAGCAGGGTTTCGGCATCATATGCGAGGTTGAATTGGTCGCCAATGAAACTGAAATTTTGGTGTCCGAAGGTTCCCTGGACATAAGTGTAGGAGTCACCAAAGGCAATTCTTTGGTCTGGGGTCAGTGCTGCTTGCAAGATTTAGGCTAGATATACTCACAGAGCCTTGGTCGATGACCAGTTGAGTTTGGCGGGTCTTGACAGAGGACTTGCTCTGGCGAAAATAGTGCCAGAGGCGATGGCTAGGACGCATATCGTCAGGATAATCAATTTTTGCTACTCAATTGGATTGGTAGGTCTAGCATAAAGGAAGGTAGAATTGCGTAGGATATCATGGCATGCTTCTTCTAGGTAGTAGAATATATAGATCTCTGAGTAGACGATCTACTAGTAGTAGTTCGTCTAACCCCGCAAAGGATCAATATCCGGGGTAATTCTGCGGAATATATTTTTCCATCAGTTAATTTACTCCGCACTTTTTACATGAATACTTCACCATCAATTGTGGAGGAAAGGGGAATGGAATCCTGAGCTTTTTGTACTCACAGATATCAAATATATTCTTACACATTAGGCATATTGTAACACATGTAGTAAGAAAACCCGTGGAAAGATATATCAACCACATATCAGACTCTCAGGTGCCCTCCATAGAAAACCGAATGCTTCATTAGCACTTGTCGGGGCAAAAGAGCCTCAAGGAAATGGAAATGAAGTGAAGCTGACAGAATAAGCAAGTATGTATAGGTACTTGGTGGGGCGTCAGACTATACTTCAGCCTTATACGAAGTAGACCTTACCTCATTTGACACAAGTGTGCTGAATCAGTCATCAATCTCACTAACTAGAACGCCTTACTTGCATATACTACTATGATACTAGGGGTCAATTTCAAAACCGGCCGAGATTTTCGCTCATGCATAGCTCGACATTCAAGGTTTATGCTTAAACGGCCGACAGGGAGGTTATGCTGTGGGTTCCTTTTAGCGTTTCACGACACGAAAAACCTTGAAATACAAAGATGTAAAGCTACATGGAGATAGCCATGGTTTTTTTTGGGTTTGGTTTTGTATATGGTTGTATACATTCTTGTGCTTGTCTCCGTAGATTGGAAATGAATTGGATTCTGCATGGATTTACTCCAAGATATCGTCGTGCTAGCCATAGGTCTCTGAAATATACTATGAGCTATAAAAATACCGAGCCACGTGCACAACGCGATAGTCTTGTGATTAGCTGACACAAGTACCGATTTGCTATCTACGGAGTCTGGAGGAGTATTCACCCAGAGGATTTGACCATAACACCAAAAACAGGACTACATACATATCAATGCGTGTACTTTGTGTGCTTCGTATAGAGTATATAGTTCGGTAAGCCTATACCGTGCATGCATATATACAACATCCACTTCGTACTTCATCTCGAAGTGACCCTCGAGACAAGAATACACAAAAATACACGCGAAAACACAGTACACGATCCAAGAAACGCCTAAGGGAGCGACGTGCAGTAGTGCGGGCAACAGACTAGCGTCAAAGAAAGTACCGGTACGGAGTAGAACGAGGAACTCAATTCCCGCAGTATGCATAAGCGCCTCCGTCTTCAAAGCGCCATGGCAATCGCCCAATCACCCTAAAGGGGTTTCATCCGACGTGCATCGTCGGAGAACAAGGGTGGGTACGACTCATGTCGCCGGTCCAGATCGAAAGCGAACCCTGGGATTTTTAGGGGGTATCTGGGATGCGCTAGTAAGACAACGGCCGCTGTATCAGGCGATAGTGCGGTGCGCCACTCAGGAAAAGGGAAAAGATAAAAAGAAAGTACGGAGAGGAGTATATTTTACTTGTGTTTAACTTTTTGTGTTGTCTAGAGCAGACGTAGAACATGCATGGAAAATACAACATATACATACACTGCTCGGCAGATTGGTTGGTCCTAGGGCTTCTGTATTGAGCACATCTACTTGACTCGCAGTATTGAAATGGCAACGATATCTAGATTAAATTAGGCATATATTCTGGCAATATATTTCGTGTCTTCATAGGCATAGTTACAATGAGTCACTTTCTAGTAAATACTATTCTCGCTGAACTTCCTTAAATCCCTGTCTCGGCATCTAATCCCTGCAAGAATCAGTGCCGTTCATTGGTGGACTCAAGCCAGTCTCCTACCATTTCAAGATTTCAATATCAAGAAGGTCAACGCCAATATCTTTGACCGAGGTTTCATCTTAGTACATTTCGATCTCAACCTCTAAAAATAAATCAAATCAAAATCCGCGAGAAAGACCAAGACACATAGTCAATCGCCGCTCAATGATCATCATCCGGGGTGTGCTGATCCGCACAGGTCTCTCTAACGCGATCTGCCGAAGCAAGACTTACTGTGTCCGGCGTAGTCTAACTTATCTGCACTGGCCAGCGAAGTGTGGAGTTTAGGGAAATTGCGGTTTTTAATTTAATTTTAGTTTCGTCGACTTTGATATTTATGTTTATATATTTAAATCTGCCGAGCACAGACTTCAATTTCTAGGATTGACTTTAGACTACTGTATGCCATCAACTTAGGGCAAGTTTTTTCTTTCTTCTTTCTTCGGTTTCTTATTGTTTGGACTTGGGCTTAGGGCTAGTTAAAAAGCAATCCCGGCTGGAGATCGCGATCAACACATATAACAAAATAACAAAGTCAAGCCTTTACTACTGATCGCCCCTGAACGATTAGCGCTGGGAAAATAATACCCATATATTGAACGGTAGGCTCCAGACCCCATCTGGGTACTTTTTCCGCCCTCCTTTCTGACCCGTCCATTAGCCAGCGTGTTTAACCTCATTTAGTGCAAATATGCGAAGTGGATATGATGATATTCGTACAAAGTTTTATACAGGGCAAGTTGATATGCAATATGCAATATCCTAGCAACATGCAGAAATGGGCCCACGTGCATCAAGTGACACGGATGAGCGTCTGCAGGTCCAACTTTTGGGGTTGAGACATTTAATTTTGCCGGTACTCTTCCCTTTTGAGCACAGCCGCGAAAGGCGCTTTATATTACAGTACGGAGTGTGTATATATATAAGGAGAGAAACGAAAAAATAAATAAATAAATAGGATACACAAATCGCCAACAGCTTTGGAAATTGGGGCCTGGGATGATCGTCCGAAGTGACTCCGTACAGGCCAAGGTATTATTGATTTGTTGACCTCCGTATGCATACGACGCTGTGATACCGAGCGGCTGCGGCGTCCAATGATTGACGCGCCGTATGAATTTGATATTGATCATCCCGTTCTGCGCTCGACACCGGATATCCCGCACTAGACACTGTGTGTTGTCCGCGCGGAGTCCGCTGGTCCCACTGGCCACTGGTGTGTTTGGAGATTGTCGGTGTTGAGTTGTGCATTATCGACGATTAGACTATTATTTCCTGATAACAAGGTACTTTTGTAACAGTTAGGTAGCTGAAGAATAAAATAACTAACTAGAATTGACTAAATGACTAAATGACTAAATACAAAAATACCAAAGTATGAAATATCTTCAACCCCCATCCACTTTCTTTTTCCTCACCGGCAGTGTAGGAACAGGTTCCGCGCCTGCGGGGTGAGAATGCGGCCCCCAAAGCGCCAATCATCACTTGAGAGAGTGTGTGTTGGTTTTCCGAGCTGAGAGCCTTGCATCTTGTGCATGTTTTTTTCCCGTATTCTTCCTATCAGACTCGCTTTTATCCAGGGTGGGGTTTTACCGGTAACTGAGTGATTTTCCCCCACTTTCTCTGATTGGGAGGCTGAAAGTAAATATTATTAATAACGGAGTACGGAGTACTCCGTAAATAGGGAGCACAACATCCAATATAGCTAAATAGCTAATTAAGGGAATTCAAATACATAAGAACTGCCGTATACTATCCTCCACTATATACACTGATCGTACCGGAGAGCCGCCGAGGACTCCGCTCGCAATTTGGTGAGTTTCGTGACCAATTGGCGGTGATAATGGGCTCGTTCCACGGAAATCCCGCTAGGAAATTGATGGGCCCCCTTTCTCCTCTTTTCTTCCTTGGTGAGATTGGTGTGGTATGTGCTTTGTACTATAATTATCTATATGGGTAGAAACGGTTATCTGGTAGAAACATCATAAATCACTCATGGTATGGATTGAGATCGAGATTGTAGGAACGGGACTTCGTTCTAAAATCGAATCATTCTAATATTTGATCTTTATTTTTTTTTCCAGACACGTCCAGATGTCAGGAGATGGAGATAGGCTCCGATCACCGGGGGTTGTTGTTGTGATTTCACTGTCTCCACTCCCGCGTCTGTAGGTATCGTGACGGTTACGCGACGAGATGTTGCCATGACTTGATAGGTGTGAAGTGAACGTCAATAGTACGTAGGAGATAGTTATCCTCTTTATACATTTTGTATATGTTGTATATTCCGCTACATATATATTCCCATTCCATATATTTAGACATTCAGTATACTCCGTACCATACTGTAATCAAAGTGCAACACTGAACCTCCTTTTCAGGAAAAGAAGCTATCACCGGCTTCAACCGCCTCGGCTTTAAACCTTTGCAGCAGACTTTGACGCTAAACTCAAACCAGTCCGGTCTATCCACAGCTTCTCCAGTCCCCACCGCCCACCCCACTCCTTTTCTCCTATTGGCGCACCAAGGACCGAGTGCCTGCCTGGTCTTCCCGAGTCCCATCGCTTCTTCTTCCCCCGACCTGCGCTACGCCCTTTTCTGCCTTAGTTCCCTCCCTACATCTCCCCCCCTATACCCCTTTTAGCCTGGATTCCATCGCTCGGTTGAGGTTCCTCGGGCACGCCATTCCTAGCGCCCACCTTGGTCAGGCTCAAGCCCTCCCCTGGCTCCTCTCTGACATCTTGGTTGGTACCCACGGGCCATACACGCTAGGTTCTCCCTCGACGCACCCGAGTTGCGGGTAGACTAAGAGGCCTCCAGTTGGGAACCTAACCAGTAGCCCTTAGCAAAAAACAACAACACCTGTATACCTCCCATTTTTGATATTCCATTCATAGTCGGGATTTTTGTATGAATGATTGAAGAATTTGCGAGAAACAAGTTGCCACTTCTCTCTTGGATGGGTTCCGCTTTTTTTCCTCTTTCTTTTACAAACCAAAAACTGGAAACTGGAAAGAAAAAAAGAAAAAAGAAAAAGGTGTTATCACACGGACATGGAAAGCTTAGCCGGTAAGGAAGACACTGAGGGGAAAGGGGGCCA